TCTGGGTGGACTACTTCCTGCACCACGACAACTGGATCCACGGCCCCGGCTCGTGCAAGCTCTTCGGCTTCGTCTTCTACACCAACATCTACATCAGCATCGCCTTCCTGTGCTGCATCTCGGTGGACCGCTACCTGGCCGTGGCCCACCCGCTGCGCTTCGCCCGCCTGCGCCGCGTCAAGACGGCCGTGGCCGTGAGCTCGGTGGTCTGGGCCACGGAGCTGGGCGCCAACTCGGCGCCCCTGTTCCATGACGAGCTCTTCCGCGACCGCTACAACCACACCTTCTGCTTCGAGAAGTTCCCCATGGAGGGCTGGGTGGCCTGGATGAACCTCTACCGCGTCTTCGTGGGCTTCCTGTTCCCCTGGGCCCTCATGCTGCTGTCCTACCGCGGCATCCTGCGCGCCGTGCGGGGCAGCGTGTCCACCGAGCGCCAGGAGAAGACCAAGATCAAGCGGCTGGCGCTCAGCCTCATCGCCATCGTGCTGGTCTGCTTCGCGCCCTACCACGTGCTCCTGCTGTCCCGCAGCGCCGTGCACCTGGGCCGGCCCTGGGACTGCGGCTTTGAGGAGCGCGTGTTCCCCGCCTACCACAGCTCGCTGGCCTTCACCAGCCTCAACTGCGTGGCCGACCCCATCCTCTACTGCCTGGTCAACGAGGGCACCCGCAGCGACGTGGCCAAGGCCCTGCACGACCTGCTGCGCTTCCTGGCCAGCGACAAGCCCCAGGAGATGGCCAACGCCTCCCTCACCCTGGAGACCCCGCTCACTTCCAAGAGGAGCACCGTGGCCAGGGTCACGGCCGCCGGCTGGGTGGCAGCTCCGATCTCCCAGGAGGACCAGGTGCAGCTGAAGATGCTGCCACCGGTGGCGCAATGAACCTCAGGTCGCTCAGAGACGCACCCCCTGCCCCGCCCCTAAATTCATCCCACACCCTGGCCCCTCTTGCTCTGGTGCATGCCGATTGTATGTAAATAAGGCCATGTGACTAATCGTGTGAATATAAGAAAAGAGGAAAAAAGCAAGGGTGGTGTGTTGCTGGTCAGTTGCCATCCTGCGAACGGCCCCTTAACGGTCCAGCTGAACGGTCCCTGGCCTTGCCGGGGGCAGTGTTAGTGACATAGGGGTGATGAGTGCCAGACCTGGCCCGGCCCTCACGGCCCCGCCCCCCGCTCCAATGGGGGAGACAGATCTGCCCCTGGGCAGTGATGATCCAGGGGGGCAGGGCTCAGACAGGAGAGGCCATGGTCTGGGGGAACCCCAAAGGGCATCTGACCCAGTCTGGGGGACAGGGAGGGCTTCCTGGAGGAGGAGACTAGTATGTGAAGTTTCCAGAGGTGGAGACAAAAAAACACACAAAAAAACCACGTGAGGATGATTTCCAATGAGGGGGTGACTCAAGGGGAAGGCGGAAGGAGAAACCCACTGAGTGTGGAGTGATCACTCTTGCTCTAGGGAAGCCCCCGTCATGTAGGGGTGAGTGAGCAGGACAGAGCACTTCTGAGTTTTCAGATTAACATTCTCCAAGTCAGGACTGAGGAAGAAGAGGGAGAATGTCCAAACCCAAGTGGAGGGCAATCAAGGAAGACTGGCCGGAGGAGCCGTTCAGTCAACAGGTTTATTTGTACCTCCCATCGGCCCTGTGCGGGCTGGGGCTGGGGACGCAGTGGTGACCAAGACAGCCCCGGAGCCACCATCGAGGGGCGCCCTGTAAGGGAGTAAAACAAAACAAATACAAAGTTTGGAACTGATAAGTATATTGGGTAAAAATAAAGCCACATGAAGGGACAGAGGGACATGGAGTCTGAGGTAGACGAGGTCAGGGGAGGGCTCACTGAGAAGGTGGCATTTGAGCAAAGTCCTGGAGGAGGGGAGGGGGCCCCTGTGGCTGCGGGGGGAGTGGGGAGGAAAGAGCATCGCAGGCAGAGGGAACAGCAAGTGGAAAACCCTGGAGTCAGAGTGCCTGAATTCTGAGGCGCAGTAGGACCGTGGTGTGCCTACAGCAGATGGGGGGTGACAGAAGTGGGAGTGAGACTGGCAAGGGGACAGAGGCCCATCTTTCGGGGCTCGCGACGTCCTGCTGAGGACTTTACCTTTTACTCTGAGGTAAATGGGAGCCATAAGAGGGGGGACGTGATTTGTGATTTGACTTCAATGTTAACCGGGTCCCGCTGGTTGCTGAGTGGGGAACAGAATAGGGGAAGTTAGGGCGGAAGCTGGGAGCCCCGTGAAGCGGTGTAGTAGCCCAGGTGGGAGATGCTGGCAGGGGGACCGAGGTGGGCGGAGGACTGAGCAAGGAACAGTGCTGCGCTTGCTTTGGGATGTACTTTGAAGAAACACACTGAGGGAAGAAGCCCGGGGGCCTGGGGGATTGTGTAGCATGAGCCTCTCGCCCATCCTGGGAAAACGGTGACTGAGAGCCTGAGCTGGAAGGACCTCTGGGAGCGATCCCAGGCCCTATTCCGGGGTGGTCACTGGAGAGGCCAAGAGAGTAGCCCGGAGACGCACAGCCGGTGAGTCAGCCTGGGGCCATCCTGGGCTCCCTCTCCCCTCCCGGTCGCTGCCTCTGTTCCCACGCCCCAGAGTGGCCAAGGCTGCCTGCTCTGGCTGGTCTCTCCCTCCCTCTCTCAGCCCCCAGAGTTCACCAGGAATGGTCTTCCGATAGCCAGGCTGGAGAACAGGGGGACGCACCCGCCTCTGGACCGGCCTCACCTTTCTTAGTTACCTAACAGACTTCATGCTCCTGATGAGATGTGACGACCCCCCCACCTCTCTCCACACACACCCTTGCCCCAGAAGTTCCCAGAAGAGGTTCCTGGAAACCCTTCTCAGAGAAAGGAAGAGGAGGGAGGACGGGAATGGGGCGGGGGTGGGGGGGGGGAAGAACTTAATGAAGAAAATGGTTTTGCAGGGGCGGGGGTTACTGAGATGCAGGAAGTTGGGGCTTTGGTGTTGGGAGAGAAAAAGGGGGGTCTAGGATCTGGGGGCTCTGGTAATTTTCCCATCCTGTCTCACCACCATAAAGCTATTGGGATGGAGTTGCAGGGGGTCAGATATTTTGAACACAGTCTCCTCAGAGGATGAGACGAAAGCCTGCACACTACCCTCCACCAAATGCTCATTTGCATCCAATAAATATTTATTGAGCACCTACTATGTGCCCGGCACTGTTCTAGGAGCTGAGGAAACAGCAGTGAATTATACAGAAAAAAGTCATGTACAAGTTTGGAAGTACCTTAGTCCCCCCCAGTAGGTCCTTGGGCTCCAGGAGAAGACTTTGGGGTGGGACTCAAGAAATCCCAGCCTCACCCTGGCCAGTGTGGCTCAGTCGGTTGGGCATAGTCCTGTGCAATCAAAGATCGCTGGGTTTGATTCCCGGTCAGGGCACATGCCCAGGTTGAGGGTTCAATCCCCAGTTGGGGTGTGTGCGGAGGCAGTGGATCAATGTTTCTCACATCAGTGTTTCTCTCTCTCTTTTTCTCTCACTCTCAAATCAATAAAAACATTTTAAAAAACAAAATCACATTTTAAAGAAAGGGAATGAAATCCCAGCCGTCAGCTCCATCCTGATGACCCGTGGAATGTTGGATAAGTCCTTTTCATTCTCTGGCCTCAGTTAGCTAGTCTGTAAAATGGGGAGGGGGTTGGTCCCTAGTGGATATGGACCTCGGATAGGCTCCAAGCTCCCCCACACTTTGTCCAGAAGGGATCCCAGGGGAGGTTTGTTTTATGGTCTTGTCACGCTTACTACATGATTTAGAATATCTGGGTTCAACATGTCAGTGCCATCAGTATTACAGATGAAGAATCAGGAACACCAGCGCCTGGGACTTGACAAAGGATGGTCGGGGAGTCAGAGTGGATACAAGGAAAGCCCAGGGTCTCCCGACTCTACGTCCTGAAGGTTTGTGTCCTCTTGCACCCCACGCCTCTGCTCCTCTCTTCGTCTCCCTCTGCCGCTCCTGGAGCCTCTCAATTACCCATCAGCACTCCACCACCCAGAAACTTCTCTCAACCCCTTCCTGACCCTGTTTATATGATTTTGCTCCCTGCTGGGTAAGGGAGGACAGGCTGGAACATGTCCTTAAACTCCTTCCTGAGCCAGCTCCCTGGGGACCCTCGCCCCGAGATGGAGGCAGTGGGGCTGCTTGACACCGGGTATGGTTTTACTGGCCGAAATGCTGGGCTCTCAACCTCTGCCCGCTGAGGGACCTTGTGCCAGGCCCCTGCCCCTCTGTTGCTTGGGAGAGGGCTGGATTAGCTGCCTCTGGCGATGAAATGCACCCTCCCACTAGAGTTAGCAATGATGACACTAATACGTGTATAGTAATAAGGGCTGTTTATTAAATGCTTATTAAGTTACTATGTGACTGGCACCGTTCTAAGCACGGAGTTCGCTATATTTTTACATTCAGATGCACGTGCAACCCAGTAAGAGCGATCATGATTCACGTTTTGTAGACGCGAATACTGATGCCCAGAGAGGTTAAGTCACTCGCGTAATATCACACAGCAAATGAATGAATGACGGGACTGGGCTCTCAAACCAGGTCTGTATGACTACACAGTTTTCTCTTAATCCCAGTGACAGCCCTAACCTGCGGGGGTAGGTGTATTTGGGATTCATTAGCCCGAATTAGGACTAATTGAGAGCCTCATTGGGGCCGAGCGACCACCTAGGTAGGTAACGTCACGAAAGAGCGTGGCAACACCACCCGGCGCGGAAGGGGGGCCCATCCACGCTCCCGCAATCAGCCGTTTAACGACACTGCCCTCTGACCGCCTCGCTTCCGCCGTACATTTGCATATTCAGCGGACGACGTCGGCGCGTAAGCGCGACGAGGTGACGTCAGGGAGCGCCCCTGCAGTTCCCCCCGAGCGTAGGCACGCACGCACGCACGCACAGCGACAAGCGGGCGGAGGAGGAGGGAGAGGTTGGAGGCGCCCCGCCCAGTCAGGAGGGTTACGCGTCCCTCGTGCGACCGCCAAGATGGTGGTGGGTGCGTTCCCCATGGCGAAGCTGCTCTACTTGGGCATCCGGCAGATCAGCAAGCCGCTTGCCAACCGCATTAAGGCGGGCGCCCGCCGAAGCGAGTTCTTCAAGACCTATGTCTGCCTCCCGCCGGCTCAGCGTGAGTCTGACCCCACGTCCCTCCAACCTTTCCATTCTCCAACCCCTCTCAGGTGGTTGTTCAGGGGCTGGACTTCTGTTCACGACCAATCACAGCCCGAACCGGCAAAGTTTTGCAGCCAATAGGGAGGGTCTCTGGGATAAGGGCTTTGCAGCGAGTCCAATTGCAAGGGCGGGCGTGAACTAAGGGGCGGGGCAGGGAGTTGAAAATACCAGCCAATAGAGTAAGAGAGCGCGTAGCGACTGATGTCTGGGCGAACCAATAGTGTGGGACGAGAGTAATTTGGGCCGGGCCCTCCGGGGCTGAGAGGAGCTAGGGGCCAGCGGAGGAGGGACTAGCCGGAGTCATTGCCCAGCCATCCTTGGGCATCTTGGCTTCCAAAGCTCCATCTCGTGCCTCAGTTTTCCTCTTGTCTTGGGAGGTTAAAGGTGCTTGTATGTCATTCGTTTAGGACAGCGGTTTGCCCCAGTTAATACTCTGGGAAACAGGACAGGGTTAGAAGCGTGTCTCGGGCCAAATTAAGTTGCGGTCTGGGGAGGTGGCCTGAGAATCTGGCAAAAAGGCAGTTTAACCAGAGTGGTCAGACACTCATCCGTCTGTTCCTTAATCCACTGATACGCCGTGTTTGCTCGTCCATTTATTCAAGAGACAGCCCATGCTGGCTTTTTGCTGGATACTGGGAGAGACACTCATGACCCGTCATTGTCACCCCCGAGTGGTCAGGGTGGTGGGAACTCTGGAGCTCAGAGAGGCCACCTGATCCAGGGTCATGGTGTCTAGACGAGGGCAGCCCGAGCTGAGATCTAAAGGGCATCGTAAACACTCAAAATACAAGCTACTTTAAAAAGATGAACTAGATGAATAGGCCTATGGGAGCACAGAATAAGGAAATTGACATAATTTGTTGGCTCATCCATCCATCCATCCATTGCTTCATTTGGCTAGTATTTTCTGAGCATCGACTCTGTGCCTGGCCTTGTGCTGGGCAGTGTTGGTGAGACAGCAGGGACCAAGTCAGCCCAATCTGTGCCCTCAAGGAGCTCAGTCCAGTAGGGACCGACCCATTCTGCAAGAGTGACAACCAGAGTGGGCAGAGCTGGGATGGGATTGCCCACTGGATGCCTGACCTGATTTGGGGTTCAGGGATGGCCTCAGGGTGAGGAGAACCTCACCAGACAACATGGGGGCAGGGATGATGTCGAGGGAGCGGGAGAAGCATGGGCAAAGGCCAAGTGGTTAAGAGGAACACATACCATTTTTTTTTTTCTTATAAGTTTGGGTGCTTAAGGTTTGCATTCTGGAGCCTACAATTCTTAGTCCATTGGCGTTTGTTTGGTGGGCCCTTTGCCACAGCTGCAGAGCTTAGCCCGGAAAAGTGTTGGATCGCACAGTTACCAAGTACTCTCCTATCAGCTTATCTTACTTGAGTTTCACACTATTTTGTCCCTATGTCAGGGATGGGAAATGACTTCTCCCAGTTTATAGAAGAAAAAAATGGAGACCTCGAGAGCAGAAGTGAACTGCTGCGGTCACACATGAGTTTGTGCCAAAGGCAAGATCTGAATCCTGGACTGTGCTGGTTTCTGTTCCTGCCACTGCCTTTCTCCCAAACACTGATATGTCTTTGCATTGTGGTTTAGAAGGTGGCTTTTTGAGTTAGGCTGACATGGGTTCCATTCTGGGCCCTACGTCTTCCCGGCCAGGTAGCTTTGAGCTGGTCATTTAACCAATCAGAGCTTCAGTCTCCTCTTCTGTGGGTATTTTATAATCACAACATTTAATGCGCCCTCACTTTGTGCTAGGCAGTGTGCTGAGCACTTCACAGGCCTTCTGACATTCAATTCTCACACATTATTATGAGATGTATATACTAATATTATTCCCATTTTGTGTACTATATATGAATTTATGCTATGTATAATACATGTTGTGAGGAGTAAACGGATATACAATGTTAAGTCAGTGGTTCACAGATGTATATGTGTAGATGTGAATACAGCAGAGAAGAAAATGCAAAAAATCCTGTCCTCAGGGACCTGACATTCTGGGGGGAAGCCAGACAATAAACAAAATCAATAGTTGACATATGAAGTGTATTAGATAGCAATAACTGTTCTAGAGAAAACACCAGGGATGCAGAAGGAGGAGTATTTAGGGGCAGGTTGTAAGTGTAGATAGGATTATTAGGGAGACCTCACTGAAAATACTCAGGAGGGAACAAACAGTACAGGTGTCAGGGGGAGAACATTCTAGCCCAAAGGTTCTGCACATGCAAAGGCCCTGAGGTGAGAGTGTACTGGCATGTTGGATGAACAGCAAGGCAAGTGCGGCTGAGCAGACGGATCAAGTGGAGACTGAAGGCTGAGGGGAAACTGGTGGTGCTGGGCAGGGCGGGCAAGACTGTGCAGGG